TCATTATTATCATCATCATCATCATCATCATCATCATCATCATCAACATCATCGTCATCGTCATCAGCATCAGTAGCATCAGCACTGTCATCATCAGCATCAACAACATCATCCTCATCCTCATCCTCATCATCATCACCGTTATCACCCTCAATATCATGATCAGCATCATCATCATCATCATCATCATCATCAGCATCATCATCATCATCATCATCATCATCATCATCATCATCATCATCATCATCATCATAATCATCATCATCATCATCATCATCATCAGCATCATCATCATCATCATCATCATCAGCAGCATCAAGCCTCCTCGTCCCTCCCCCTCCTCCTCCCCCTTCTCCCCCTCCCCCTCCCCCTCCTCCTCCCTCCCCCTCCCCCTCCTCCTCCCCCCTCTCCTCCTCATCCCTTTCCCCACACCCCTCGTCCTCCGACTCCTGCGCCCGTGCCCAGCGGACGACACCCTCCCAGGCCCTGTGATACCTCCCAGGGTGGCGCGGGGCGCGCCTGCGGTGAGGGTGCCGCAGAGGCGGTCCTCTTCCGCCTGCTCCTCCTCCTCTTCCTCCTCCTCCTCGTCCTTCTCCTTCTGATCATCGTCTTCTTAGTACTAGTATCGCCAGTCGAATGCGATTCTTAGCCTGATGGTAATTATTCATGTCAGTATTAGATGTATCATTGCTATTGGTGTTGGTACCAGTCGGTTATTTGGATTGGTATGTGTGTTGCGTTTGTTAACGTGTTGGTAGTATCAATATTAAGTAGTATTCATGTGTGTCTGACCTTTGGCAGTATACCTAGTCTCAGCACTATAATTCGTCTTCGCCTTCGGATTGATCATATTGTTAACCGTGCTCCTCCTCCTCCTCCTCCTCCTCCTCCTCCTCCTCCTCCTCCTCCTCCCTCCACCTCCTCTGCCTCCTCATCCTCCTCCTCCTCCTCCTCTCCTCCTCCTCCTCCTCCCCCTCCTCCTCCTCCCCCTCTCCTCCTCCCCCTCCTCCTCCTCCTGCCCCCCGCCCTCGTCCGTCCTCGCCCTCGTCCTCTTCCGCCCCCCCGCCCACTGGGCCCCCGCCGCCCCTGCCCGCACGGCCCCCCCGCCCCTCCCCGCAGGGCGCCCGAGGGGGACAGCGGCGCAGCGCCGCCAGAGCCGGCGCCGCGACGCAGCACGCGGGCCTCCCCTCGCCCCGGCGCAGCGCGGAGGGGGGGGAGGAGCGGGACGAGGGCGAGGACGGATGAGGGCAGGGGAACGAGGAGGAGGAGGAGGAGGAGGAGGAGGGGAAGGAGGAGGAGGAGGAGGGGGAGGAGGGGGGGAGAGGAGAGAAGGAGAAGGAGAAGGAGAATGAGGAGGCGGAGGAGGAGGAGGAGGAGGAGGAGGAGGAGGAGGAGGAGAGGAGGAGGAGGAGGAGGAGGAGGAGAAGGAGAAGGAGGAGGCGGAGGAGGAGGAGGAGGAGGGAGAGGAGGAGGAGGAGGAGGAGGAGGAGGAGGAGGAGGAGGAGAGGAGGCGGAGGAGGAGGAGGAGAAGGAGGAGGAGGAGGAGGTGGAGGTGGAGGAAGAGGAGGAGGGGGGGATGGTAAAATCAAGGCGCGTGGGCGGCAACTCCACATCCCAGCAGTGGAAAAAAGGGGGGGGCTTCCGAGCCCCTGCGATATATCACACGGATGCAGGGCCGTGCGCCACCGCGAGGCCTTCAGTCGCCACGCATGCTTCGGACTCGTAGCCAGCGGCGCACGAGAGATCAGTTGATCGCCCGCCAGGGAGCCCAGGCGGCAGGAGGAGGAAGATCAACGACAACAGGTGCAGGGCCGAGCGCTACCGCGAGGCCTTCAGGCCACGCATGCTGCTGACCCGTAGCCAACGGCGCATGAGAGATCAGTTGATCGCCCGCCAGGGAGCCCAGGCAAGCAAGCAAGACCTTGGCAGCTGGTGTCTCTCGCTGCGTGGCTCACCTCTTAGGGGTAAGGCCTGCAGCCCTGACTGTAGCTGCTGGTAAACTCAATGCGCATCTCGAGCACGCCTGCGGGACTTTATAGCCCATCACGGACCTTCAAAGCCCGCGTTAGCACGAAGGCGCACCACACTTCATTCAAGTCGCTGTGGGCTGAGGCTTAGAGCGCAACGATAACAAGTCATATGTCATATCTGCAACAAGCGTGCGGCAAACTGCACGACCAGCAGCGCGTGCAGAGATCAGCTGTTGGGCGCCCACACAGACCTGACCAGCACGGCGCAGATCCGCAAATCCACGCGGACATCCGAAAGTTTCTGTTCGTGCCGTTTGTTCTCCTTCGGTGGCTACAGTGCTGGTTCCTCACTCTCGAGGCCTCCCACATGGAGTCCGAGAGCAGACAGGGTCGAAGGATCGCGCCGCATCGCCGCTGCTTCGGCGATGCATCGGCGACGCCGCCGCCGACGCCAGCGCGGAGGAAGCAGATCTCCACGTCGAGCCGCATCGCCGATGTATCGGCGAGGTGCGATCCTCGGACCCCGCAGGATGAGTCGCCGCCCCTCCTGTCGGCGACGAGCCTGGGGGGAAGTGAGACGGGGCGGGTCTTCTCAGAGGGCTCGAAGTACCCTGGCCTGCTGAGAAGTTTTCTAAGCCTTCCCCGAAGACATATAGAACCTCTCAAAGGCACGAGGGCTTCTTAGAAGCCCCGCCGCCTTCTGAGATGGCCTTCTCACTTCCCTCCCTCGCTCGCCGCCGAACATCGGCGAGGCGCGATCCTCTGACCCCGCAGGATGAGCAGGCACCCCCACCTGGGAGCAGGGCTCAAGCTAACAGTGTTGTTCGTTGTCCTTTTGTTTTCGTGCTCCTTCCTTCGTCACGTCGTCGTTCTGCCTTTGCCGCGAAACGAAATCAAAACGAAGACGGCCCACGAATCAAAAAAACACCGTTTGGCTCGAGCCCTGCAGGATGAGTCAGCACCCCAACCTGGCCCAAAGTGCTGCGAGAGGTGGCTATGGCCCACTGTGCCCATAAGGTTCCCACGAAGCCCCCCACGGCATCCAGAGCACCCCTCACAAGGCCCAGGAGGGCCCCGAGGAGTCCAAAATTGAAACGAAGAGCTGGGTGGCACCTCTCGCCATCGCTCGGACGGCCATTTTCCCCGTGCACGGTTCGGTGCCGTGCGCGTCCTTCTTCGCAGGATGGCCCACAAGGCTCCCCGAAGGCCCCCCCCCTCGAAAAAAAAGCACGCGCCCGAGCGATGCCGAGACTTGGGGCCAGGGGCACCTGTGGCAAAACCCCAGACCCTGGGCTTAAGTCGGGCCTGTCCTCCTACAGGGGGATTTACGACGAAAAATAAAAGATAGCCAAACATACACCACAATGGCCCAAAAGTAATCTTAAAAAAGAGTCGTCCCCCGACCATTTTTTTCCTACGATCTTGGAAACAAATTCGTCGTGTCGAGAGGGACGGGCCCGACTCAAACCCTGGCGGCCTGGACGCCTCGCGCCTCTGCTCTCCAGACACCTGACGGCGCGCACAGGGGGGGTGGAGGGAGGGGGGAGGGCTCCTTAGAAGGAGGCTGCTTCTTGGAAGGCGACGGCCTCACATCTATAGATAAGGCCCGCGCCTTCTCAGCAGCAGGGGTGCTTCTCAGAAGCCCTCCCCCCTCCCCCCACCCCCCTCTGCGCGTGGCTGAGACACCCCGCCCCCTCCTGCGCCGGCCCCTCGCCGTCGCGCGCGGCGGCGGCCCCGGAGCCCGAGGCCCCGCCCTGGCGGCGCCGCCGCCGCCGGCCGCCGCGGCGGCCGCCGACGCCGCGGCCGCCCGCCGCCACCGCCGCTGCCGCCGCCGCTGCGTGGCCCGCGTGGTCAAGGTCGTCGTCGTCGGTGTCGTCGTTGTCGTCGTCGGCGTCGTCGGCGTCGACGACGACGACGACGACGCGGCGACGCCGACGCCGACGGCGACGACGGCGTCGGCGAACGCCGCCGCCGCCGGCGCCAGCGGCGTCGGCGGGCGGCCCAGCAGCGGTGGCGGGCGGCGGCAGCGTCAGCGGGCGGCATGGCGGCGGCGGCGGCGCCGCCGCCGCCGCGCAAACACCGTCGCTGGGCCGCCCGCCGACCCACAGGCCGCCTGCCGGCGCCGCCGCCGCCGCGGTGGTCGCCGTCGCCGCTGGTGGGCAACCAGCGTGCGCCCGATGTGGCAGAGAAGGGGCCTCTGGGGCCGCAAGGTGGCTCCAGGCTCCAGGATGCCCCGGGGGGGGGCCGGGAGCGGCCCACGACGGCCCCCCAAGCGCACCCAAGAGCGCATCAGGAGCGCTCCAAGAAACCCTCAAGCGGCCGTTGCTCGAGCCCCGGTCTGGGAGTGAGAACCCCGACGTCTTTCATCGATGGCCTACAGGATGGCCCAAGCAGGCCCCCAAAGGCTCCCAATATTGGCCCAAGAGAGCCCCTAGAGCCCTTTCAGGACACCCAGATGGTCCAAACGGAGCTCCGAGATGTCTCCACGAGGCTCTCAGAAGTCTCTAGGTTCCTATGTGCCAAAGGAAGCTCCGAGATGTCTCCACGAGGCTCTCAGAAGTCTCTAGGTTCCTATGTGCCACGAGGGGTTCGGAAACAAATCCCACCAGCCCTTTGTGCATAGGTGGTTTACGGAGTGAGTTACCTCCTCTTCTTCCTCCTCTTCCTCATTCTCCTCATTCTCCTCCTCCTCCTCCTCCTCCTCCTCCTCCTTCTCCTCCTCATTCTCCTCCTCCTCCTCCTCCTCCTCCTACCCCCGTCCGAGGGCAGGCTCTGCAATTCCACTCCTGAGAGGCTTGGGCTGATCCAAACCTTCGGCTTGATGACTGTCTCACTTCGCTTGTCCTTTGAATGCGCCCACACTTCAGTGATCAGGGCACCTCGCCTGGAGATCGCAGCTGGATTAGACGGTGGGGATTCGCGAAGCGCCAAACATTTTTTCGGGGGCGGGTACACCAGTCAATCAAATGCCAGCCAAGAACAAATGGGGAGCATGACACAGACCAGACCTCACTCGCAGAGGCAGGACAATTAACGAAGAGCTCTTGCTGCCTTTGCCCGTGCCTTCCCCTCCTTCGCCCTTCGATTCTTCTCCCACCTCTGCAGCCCTTCGCGCTCCGCCTCCCGGTACCACTCGGCGCCCGCGAGATCCCGGAGCCTGCTGGGCACCGCCTGCCCTGCGCCCTCCAGCAGCTGCACGAGCTCCGCGGCGCCCGGGTCCCCTGGCGTGAAGAGCGCGAAGGCCCTCCCCTGCCTCCCGGCACGGCCCGTGCGGCCGATGCGGTGGACGTAGGCCTCCACGGCTGCCCGGCCGCCCCCTGCGCCAAACGAGCCGAAATCGCCCGAGGAGCAGGGGGCGGCGGAGGCACAGACTTCCCGAGCTCCGCGCGGCGTTGCTGGATCGGCGCTGGGCCCTCCTCCCGGGCGGGCGGAGCGCGCCAGGGGCGGCGCTGGATGAGCATCGTCCATCCGACCCCCATCCCAGCGGTGTGGCCTGGGCCCCGCTGGCCGATTTACCCCGCCAGATGGGGATATAGGCCGCTCCCTCCAGGTTTCGAGGGGTGTGTCCCCAACTTGGGTGGTAATTTGGTGGGGGTCTCTGAGAGGACGGGGATGGGGATCGGTTAAACGATACCGACCAGAGGCGCCGCCCGGGGGGCCCGGCGGCGATCCAAGAAATCCGGGCGGAGCTCCGAAAGTTTGTGCTCCCGCCGCTGCTTCTCCTTCGGAATCGTGGACGACGACCACGGCGACGCCGGGGACATCCAGGCCGCGCGCGGCAACGTCCGTGGCCACGAGCACGGCGCGCTGCTGCCCCAGCTGTCCCGCGGTGGCGTCTCGGAACTGCTGCAGGCTCTCCTCGCGCTCCCACTGCTCCCGGTCGGCATGGAGCGCCCGGCACCAGGGGCGCTCGCCGAAGCCGTAGTCGTGCTGCCGGACTTCCCTCTCCAGCCTGTCGCAGCCCGCCTTCGTGGCCACGAAGATCAGGCAGGTCTGGCCCTGGCCGAGCTCAGCGCTCAGGACCTCGTGCAGCTTGGGCAGCTTCTCCTTCTCCTCCAGCAGGAAGACCGTCTGCCGGACCAGTGGGTTGGCGGAGAGAGTGGCTCCGCCCGCGCCCTGGCCGACACTGATGGTCAGCGCGTCGTGGCTGGCGAGGGACCTGGCCGTCCTCTGAACATCCATGGCCCACGTCGCCGTGAAGAAGAGCGTCTGCCGCTTGGAACCTCCATGCGCGCCAGGCGCACATCCGCCCTCCTCGGGCCGCCCGCTAGCCTTACACTGCTCAGCGATCTTACGGATATCGGGCTCAAAACCCATGTCGAGCATTCGGTCCGCCTCGTCGAGCACCAAGTAGTTCACATCTTCGAGGCTGACAACGGGAAGCAGATTCTTCGAAGGGGCGCCAGCTGCCAGGTCCATGAGCCGACCAGGAGTGGCAATGACAACGTCCGCACCCTGCTTCGCATTGGATACCTGTTCGTTCTTAGGCACTCCGCCAAAGACCACCAAGACCTGCGCGCGAACGGTGTGCGCGACCTTCTCTGCCTCGCCCGCGATCTGTTGCACAAGCTCCCGCGTTGGAGCCAGCACGAGACACGTGGGCTTGGCGCAAGGTTTGGACCCGCTGGCATGCTGCGGGCTGCGCTCGGCAACACGCACGAGCGCTGGCAAGAGGAAGCCGAATGTCTTGCCGCTGCCGGTTTTGGCCACGGCGATCAGATCACGGCCCTGGAGCACCGCCGGCCACGCCTGCGCCTGAATCGGCGTGGGGGCCACGTAGCCCAAGGCCCTCAGCGCCCTCGTCAGCGCAGGGCCAAGTGCTGGGGCGGCCGCATCGAAGGTCTCCATGGGGTCGGGGCATCGCGAGTCGGCCACGATCTGATGTGCCGCTCGGAAGGCCTCGGGCCCCAAGGTCGTGGGGGTGTTGGCCCCCTGCATGCCATTGCGGCGCTTGAGCGCGCTGTCAGACTCCTCGCCCTCTTCGGCTCTCCGCTTCCCATCTCGCGGTGTCTTCGCCAGCGCTGTCCCCTCGGCGGCGGCGGCGTCCTTCGCGGCGGCGTGATGTCTCGTAGGATCCTGCTCTGCCCTCCTCGCAGCCTTAGCCTTGGCTTTTTCCAGCGCGACCGCGGTCGCGGCCTCCCATGCCGCATTAATGTTCTTGATGAAGTCACTGAGTGAGGCTGCCTGCATGGTCTCATTAAAGTCGCCTTAGACACGGCAACCAGTCGAGAAGCAGCAGCAACTCACTGGCGAGTGTTGAACGCTTGAGCAAACAAACCAAAGCCGTATTTCTCCTGGGGCTGCCGAGGGGCTGGCCTGGGCTGAGATGGTCCTGGAGACGGGCGCCCTCAACCAGACAGAGCACAGCTTGCCGAAAAGCAGCCCGGTAGATGCCTGGGCCAAACGTTGAGCCGTCTACACTGTTGGGCCTGTAGAGACACCTGGAGGCGCCAAGACTCTCAGAAGTGCGTCACTCGGATGCTGAAGAACGCCGACGAGTTCCAGATCGTTGCATCACGGTCTTGAAGCGTCCGATACGCTGCCGGGCCGACTTGAATAGGTTGCCCTGACTTTGCCACAGCTGTGTCAGATTACTAGCGGGCAATTGTCAGAACCACGCCGATGCATCTAGAAGCAAGTTGCGAGAGGCGCGATCCAGCGGGAACTCCACCAGCCCTCTGGACGTAGGTGGCTTAGGGAGTCAGTTGTTCCAACGTACTTCTTCCCCTTCGGGCAGATGTTCACCTCTCCCCTTACTCCCTCTTCCTGGGTCTGGACAGGGTGGGTGCGAGGGGATAGAGCGTCCGAGATGGCACAAAGCAGCCCCAAGAGGGAACAGGTGGCCCAAGATGGCCTCCAAGATCGCACAATCTATCACAAGATGGTTCCACGTTGCTTCCATCTCGCAAAAGAGAGGCCCTAAGATCGCCCCAAGACGGCTCCTAGTGGCCACAGGGCCTCCCAGGGACGCCCTCGAGGGTAAACGTCCGTCCCAAGAATGAGGCAAATCTATGTTTGTACCTTCTAGTTGGTTCGCTTATACGGGGTTCCTCAGGCCGCAAGACAGCTCCAAGGTGCCCCAGGCGAGCCCCCGAGAGGGGCCCAAGCGGGCCCCAAGAGGGCCCCAATAGCGCCCGAGAGCGCCCCAGGAGCGCCCCAGGACGCGATTGCTCGGCCTCCGACGGGGCGCCATGGAGACCCGACCTCTTGGACCGATGGCCTCCAAGATGGCCCCGCTGAGAGGACGCCAGAAAGATCCGCGGAGGCACGTACCCATCGGTCGGAAGAAGTAGGTGGAAACATGAAGTAGGAAGGCGTTGACAGTACAGTCGGGGCGTTGACCTAAGGAACCCTGAATAAGGAACAAGGCCCCTGTTTTCCACACGTCGAACTTCGATTTCCCATCGAAAACCTAAGGACAACCTAAAACAAATTGTGATACAATCAAGGAACACGGAGCCCCTCCCCAACTAAAAGGGTTCCTTCTTGAGCGACCCGACTGTAGGCTGGGCTTCGTCCGCCCCCATTTATGGAGGACGGAAAGGGGGAATACACTCGATCACTGAAGCAGGAAGGCGCTTAAAAGCAGACTGGAATATGGGAGTCCTAAAATGCCTACTTCTAGGTCGGGCATATCTCCCTACAGGCGGATTATGGACGAAACAATTAGCCTGGCGAAGGACCCAACCATATACAGTTGTGAATACCGCAAATATGAATATCGTTTTCGGTGGCGCTACCTCTGGGCAGGGGAGACGCATGCGAACACCCCCACCGGGGCGTTCAATGGAGCTCCCTATGGGGCTACGATACACTGCACTGGGTGGGGGAACCGCATGCGACCCCCCCCCCCGCTCTCCCCCCCACTGGGGCCTTCGGTGGAGCTCCCTATGGGGCCACGAAACTCTGTCCTGGGCGTGGGGGACACATGCGGGCACCCCCACTGGGGCCTTCGGTGAAGCTCCCTATGGGGCCACGAAACGCTGTCCTGGGCGTGGGGGACGCATGCGGGCACCCCCACTGGGGCCTTCGGTGGAGCTCCCTATGGGGCCACGTTACGCTGCCCTGGGCGTGGGGGACGCATGCGGGCACCCCCACTGGGGCCTTCGGTGGAGCTCCCTATGGGGCCACGAAACGCTGTCGGGCCTTCGGTGGAGCTCCCTATGGGGCCACGAAGCGCTGTCATGCGGGCCCCCCACTGGGGCCTTCGGTGGAGCTCCCTATGGGGCCACGAAACGCTGTCCTGGGCGTGGGGGGCGCATGCGGGCACCCCAACTGGGGCCTTCGGTGGAGCTCCCTATGGGGCCACGTTACGCTGTCCTGGGCGTGGGGGACGCATGCGGGCACCCCCACTGGGGCCTTCGGTGGAGTTCCCTATGGGGCCACGTTACGCTGTCCTGAGCGTGGGGGACGCATGCGGGCACCCCGACTGGGACCTTCGGTGGAGCTCCTATGAGGCTACGAAACGTGTGAGGGGTGTGCCGAGAGCAGAGGCAATGAGGGGGAGAAGGGAGGAGGGGGAGGGAGAAGCGGGAGGAGGAAGGAGCGCAGGGCGCTGTCTCTTCAAAACGAGGACCCAACAACACAGGTTGGTTGCGAATGACATACCCTAAACATACACCCAAGTCGCTCAAAAAAATACATTAGCCTGACGAGGGACCCAACCATATGCAGGTGCGAGTACCGCAATAGTGATTCATTTTTTCGGTGGCGATCCCTATGAGGCAACGAACCGTGCTAGGGGCGTGCCGACATGAGTGGCGTGGTACACAAAGTGAACGAAAACGATTGATCTGAGTACGTAGGGAGACTGAGCGCGGGTGAATCTGCGCGCGTGCGTCTGACTGTGAATGATCTGCGTGCGAGCGAGTCTACGTGCATGAATGCGAATATGACAAAGCGTGGTGCAAATGTGTATGAATGCCAATAGTTTGACAACGACTGCCTCTGAATACTCGTGACGCTGGGCGTGGCCGCCGCAAGGAGCTTCCCCGGGACTCCCCGACGGCATCGCCCGCGCGCCGCGACGCCAATGTCGGCGCGCCCCCCCGCGAGGATCGCGCCCGCTTCCTCCCCTTCCTTTACTCCCTCTTTGCCCGCGCACTCAAAAGTCCAAGGCTGCGGGAGCAGCGCAGCGCGGAGCCCCCGCGACGCGCGCAGGTCACCCCGGAGGGGTCCCAGCGACGCGCGCGGGTCGTCCACTGCGCGGAGCGAAGAGAGCTAGCTGGCTGGCTGATAGCGGGCAAGGCTCTTGCCGCTGGGCAGAGCGACGACGGGCGAGCGAGGCGCTGGGCGGAACGCAGCACGGAGCCCCCGCGACGCGCGCAGGTCGCCCCGGAGGAGTCCCAGCGACGCGCGCGGGTCGCCCGCTGCGCGGAGCAAAGAGAGCTAGCTGGCTGGCTGGGACCTGCGGTGGGGCTCCATATGGGGCCACGTAACGCTGTACTGGGCAAAGGAGACGCATGTGGACTGCGCCACGGGGACCTTCGGTGGAGCTCCCTATGGGGCCACGAAACGTGTGAGGGATGTGCCGGAATGGGTGTGCGGGACGCATGCGGGCACACCCACTGAGACCTTCGGTGGAGCTCCCTATGGGGCCACGAAACGTGTGAGGGGTGGGACGACATGTGTGTGCGGGACGCATGCGGGCACACCCACTGGGACCTTCGGTGGAGGTAGCCACGACCTGTGCCGAAATGCGGGACGCATGCGGGGGACCTTCGGTGGAGCTATGGGGCCACGAAACGTGTGAGGGGTGTGCCGAAATGGGTGTGCGGGACGCATGCGGGCTGGGAGCTCCCTATGGGGCCACGAAACGTGTGAGGGGTGTGCCGAAATGGGTGTGCGGGACGCATGCGGGCACACCCACTGAGACCTTCGGTGGAGCTCCCTATGGGGCCACGAAACGTGTGAGGGGTGTGCCGAAATGGGTGTGCGGGACGCATGCGGGCACACCCACTGGGACCTTCGGTGGAGTTCCCTATGGGGCCACGAAGCGTGTGAGGGGTGTGCCAAAATGGGTGTGCGGGACGCATGCGGGCACACCCACTGGGGCCTTCGGTGGAGCTCCCTATGGGGCCACGAAGCGTGTGAGGGGTGTGCCGAAATGGGTGTGCGGGACGCATGCGGGCACACCCACTGGGGCCTTCGGTGGAGCTCCCTATGGGGCCACGAAACGTGTGAGGGGTGTGCCGAAATGGGTGTGCGGGACGCATGCGGGCACACCCACTGGGACCTTCGGTGGAGCCCCCTATGGGGCCACGAAACGTGTGAGGGGTGTGCCGAAATGGGTGTGCGGGACGCATGCGGGCACACCCACTGGGACCTTCGGTGGAGCTCCCTATGGGGCCACGAAACGTGTGAGGGGTGTGCCGAAATGGGTGTGCGGGACGCATGCGGGCACACCCACTGGGACCTTCGGTGGAGCTCCCTATGGGGCCACGAAGCGTGTGAGGGGTGTGCCGAAATGAGTGTGCGGGACGCATGCGGGCACACGCACTGGGACCTTCGGTGGAGCTCCCTATGGGGTCACGAAACGTGTGAGGGGTGTGCCGACATGGGTGGTGATAATGATGATGACGACAGATGATGATGACGATGACGATGATGGGGATGATGACGATGATGATGAAGATGGGAGGAGGGAGGGGGCAGCGGGAAGGAAGGAAGGAACGCGGGGCGACGTCTCTTCAAAACGAGGACCCAACACCACAGGATGGTTGGGAATTATCCTGGCGAAGGACCCAACCATATGCAGTTGTGAATATCGCAATTGTGAGTATTTTCTTCGGTGGCGCTCCCTATGGGGCCACGAACCGCATGAGGGGTGTGCCGAAATTTGGCGGGGTACACAACGCAAAGGAATACGATAGATCTGATTACGAGAGAAAGAACGCGGGTGAGTCGGAGCGCGAGGGAATCTGAGTATGAATGGGTCTGCGCGCGAGTGAATATATTTGCATGAATGTGATCATGGAACCGCCTAATGTAAGTGTCGAGCATGCCTGTCCGAACACACGTGACACTGGGCGTGGCCGCCGCAGGCAGCTTCCGCGGGAACCCCGACGGCAGCGTCCGCACGTCGCGACGCCCATGTCGGCACGCCTCTTGCGAGGATCGCGCCCGCTTTCGGCTCTTCTTTTCCTTCCTCTTTGCCCGCGCACTCCAAAATCCAAGGCTGCGGGCGCAGCGCAGCGCGGAGTCCCCGCGACGCGCGCTGGTCGCCCCGGGCGGGGTCCCAGCGACGCGCGCGGGTCGTCCGCTGCGC